TGGCCCTCTCCACACAACTCTCTGAAGCCTTGCTTGAGTTAAAATATTCAACTCAAGCGAGAAATTGCGGTGCCTTCGCTTCGCTTCGCCTTCGCGTCGCCGGCACCATCCCCTTCGCTTCTTTGCATTGACTTTGTATGTAAAGTCACCGCCCCGAATGCTCATTTCGCTTTTGGTCTGAAAGCACCATTACAATGCGGTCCTTTCATCACTTCCCAGGAAACTCAACAAACGTAACCTATTGGCCTCAGGTGAAGATGCCAACGATGGTCGTTCAGTCTTGGCCACCAGTAGTCCTAACGACTGTAACGACTGTCGTTACAGCAACAAGGAACACGAACCAGCAGTATCAACAATCCTGGCAAACGACTGAGGTTAAATAGCTTAGTTTCCCTACCAGTCAGTCAGAACTGAAGAAGTCCTTTGGATGAGGGATGAAATGTCTTCTAGTATCTTCAACCAAGTCCAGTTGCCCTTGACTTTAACCTTCTTTGGATAACTTTGACCTGGATGACTAAGAATCTTCACAAACACACACATATATATATATATATATATATATATATATATATATGTATGTATGTGTATATATATATATGTATAACTAGAAATTAAGTATAGTGACACTAATGTTGAACATAGCTGTAAAATTTCTTGCATATCCAAACCTCTTAAGATACAAGTTTGTTTATTTTAAATATATAATCTGCGCTTCAGTTTAGTTTTTTTCGCTGTCAAAAGATGTGATGAATCAATTCTTTACCTGCAGTTATCTGGGAGTTTGTTCCAGATATATGGAGCATAATAACTGAACACTGCTTCTCCTTGTTTAGTTTTGAGTCTGGGGACAGAAACCAAACCTGCCCCAGACGACCTGAGAGGTCTGGATGGTTCATAACAAAGCAGAAGATCAGAAATGTATTTTGGCCCTAAACCATTTAGTGCTTTATAAACTAACAGCAGGATTTTGAAATCAATTCTTTGACATACAGGAAGCCAATGTAAAGACATCAGAACTGGAGTGATGTGATCCACCTTTTTGGTCTTAGTGAGGACTCGAGCAGCAGCGTTCTGAATCAGCTGCAGCTGTCTGATGGATTTCTTAGGGAGCCCTGTAAGGACACCGTTAAAGTAGTCGAGTCGACTGAAGATAAATGCATGGATAAGCTTTTCCAGGTCTTGCTGAGACATAAGTCCTTTAATCCTTGATATATTCTTCAGGTGATAGTAGGCTGACTTTGTAATTGTCTTAATGTGGCTCCTTAAATTCAGGTCTGAGTCCATGACTACACCAAGATTTCTGGCTTGATTTGTGGTTCTTAACATTACAGATTGAAGTCGAGCACTGACTTTCAATCGTTCCTCCCTGGCTCCAAAAACAATAACTTCAGTTTTATCTTTGTTTAATTGGAGAAAATTCTGGCACATCCAATCATTGACCTGCTCAATACAGTTACTCAGCACCCATATGGGATCATAGTCCCCTGGTGAAACGGTAATGGTTATTAAATCTGTGTGTCATCAGCATAATTATGGTAACATATTTTGTTGTTTTTCATAATCTGAGCCAGTGGAAGCATGTAAATGTTAAACAAAAGAGGCCCCAGAATGGAGTCTTGGGGAACTCCACATGTCATTTTTGTCAACTCAGATGTGTGATTACCTGTAGACACAAAGTAGTCCCTGTCCTTTATGTAGGATTCAAACCATTGTAGTACTGTGCCAGAAAGTCCAACCCAGTTTTCAGGTCTGTCTAGTAATATGTTGTGGTCGACCGTGTGGAATGCAGCACTGAGTTCCAATAATACTAAGACTGAAATTCTGAAATTCACTGTCAGTGTTTAAATGGATGTCATTGAAGACCCCAACAAGAGCCGTCTCAGTGCTGTGGTGTGGTCGAAAACCTGACTGGAAGACATCAAAACAGTTATTTAGTGCCAAGAAAGCACTAAGCTGTTGAAAAACAGCTTTTTCAATGATTTTACTTAAAAATGGGAGATTTGATATGGGCCTATAATTGCTCATTAGTGAACTGTCCAGATTGCTCTTTTTTAAGAGTGGCTTAATGACTGCAGTTTTCAGGGATATGTTGACAATTTGTTGTAGATCTGAGGCCTTGCATTTTGACACATTTGTGAAAAAACCTGTTGGCAGAATATCAAGGCAGCATGAGGAGGATTTCAGATGTTGTATTATGTCCTCCAGGTTTTTATGGTTAATAGAATCAAATTGTCTCATGCTATATGAATTGTTTTTAAGTGGACACAGGGACAAGACATATCTTGTTACTGACATGGAGGCACTGATTGCTTGTCTAAGTGTTTGAATTTTGTTCATTGCAGGCCCTGGTGGATAAAAGTTCAGAGGCTACAGACACAGGAGGGTTGGTTAGCCTGTCGAAAGTAGCAAACAGGGCAAGTGCATTATTAGTGTTTTTGCTGATGATGTCAGAGAAGAAGGACCGCCTTGCATTTCTCAGTTCTAAATTATAAATGGGAAGTCTCTCTTTATAGATGTCATAATGAACCTGGAGATTAACATCTCACCCATATGCTTTCAGATGTTTATTGTAGACCAGGGCCCCGTTTCAGAAAGCGGGATTAGTGAAAATTCTGAGTATGTTAAGCCTGAGGTGAGGGAAACTCTGGGAACCTAACCTCCTCGGGAGGAGGTTAGGTTCACAGGATAAGTTGGAAAACCGTCTCTCTGACTCCTCCCATCCTGCAGAGCCTGAGGCGGCTGTCTTCATTTCCTCATTCATTCTGTTGATATCAAAGCACATATCTGAATGCATTAACATCTTTAAAAACTTTAAAATCCTGGTTAGATAGGCTATTCGTTTTTTACCCAAACATGATCTTGAACATGACTGCTTTTATGATCAATCTGTGATCGATGTATGGACAGATCTTTGCACATCGTGGATTTATCCTCGGCCCAGAATAAAATATATGTCCATCTTTAGGTATAACGCTGCAACTCTGTGGACAGTTGCTCGGAAAACACTTACTGTGGGCTACATTACTGCAGTAATCACTGTTTAATTTGTAGGCTAACCTATAAAACTGATCAATGAACAGTAATTTTGCATATTGTAGTCGCACTGATTGGAACATTCGTAGCATTAATAAAATACGAACTGAGCAAGATTTTATTGTAAAATCGACATCTAAAACTTTAACCTATAGACACATTTTCCACTGCAAAAAATAATTAATAGGCTAACCAGCTGTGTGTGACTGTGACTTTACAATCATAGGTTCATGAGTAAACTGTGTCGTATATTTGATCTATAGCCTACCTATTTTCATAATCAGGTAGCTGATTGCCACCGGCATTTTGTCCCGTCGGGTTACAGCTTAATAAATATAGCCTTCCTATTTAAAATCGAATTTAATGGGCTGTAGCACTTTATCAATCATTAAGGAAAGTCCAGTCCGGTAAATGATGAATGAGCAACGCTTTATAGTAGCCTAATAATGTTAATGCATTGATCCTTCTTCCACTCCTGCGTTTTAGAGCCTATCAGGGTCCGCGTTGGCACGCATTCATATTTCTAGCTCCAGCCGATTAAAATGGAGGCTCTGCCTTTATTTACCTGTTGCCATGGTGAATCGTAGTATCGGAGCTCCATTGATGATGGCTTTTTTTCATCCCCACGCACACGCTTTATTCAGGCTCAACATACTCAGAGTTTCCCACCTCAGGCTCAATCAACCCAGAGCTCAGGGATAAGCTCAGAGTTTGTTAAGTCTGCTTTCTGAAACAGTTCAGGTCCCTTTGATTAGTAATCACTGTTTACCCACAATCACTGTGTCCAAGACTTATTTCCCAGAGTTAAATATAATGAGTCCTAAGAATCTGCAACCTAAAATGTATTTCTCACAATGCATGTTGCAATCCAGACCCAAAAATGTAAGGAACATATGAACAGCACAACATCAGTTGAATATAGAACTTGGTGACTTTGAAAAAAGGGGGTGTAGGGGCCCTCCCTAGAAGCAAAAAAATTATCCTCAAAACTGTTATTAGATTACATTGTTTTAGATTGTTTTGTTAGCCACACGACAATGCTGGTCCACTTATACTGGAAATGTCCAACGTTCATAAACATATCCAATAAAGTCATAGGCCCACGTAAAGCCTGATGATGATAAAAGAAAAAGGCAGTAGGAGGGGATAAAATTTCCTACCAACTAAAGCTAAACCATTGCCTTACCAGATACTCTTGCCAAAACAAGATGTTTTGCTAAACTCAAAAAACCTGTTTAATTCTATTGTGTGCATTTGATCCACATTTATGTCTTCATTCCTCTGGTTTTAACACTGAGGGTTTCTTCTGAACTCTGTGAACCGCTATTACAGTGTTATCCCTATCAGTCACATTCACCCTGATCCTGCGCTTATTCAGGTCCTGGGCTGCCTCGTCCGCACTCATAGATCTGCAGCCATGTATCCCAATGCACTCCGATCTTTGTATAAGGTATCTGGTACCGGATCCCGTTCTGCTTTAATATGGATTTTATTGGTCCGTATCACTGTATGAAATTTTTGCCCCTGTAAACTGCATTGAATCTCATCAATCCCCAGCAGTTATCATCATTTACAGCAAACGTTTGTGTTCGCCTGTGCCGAAAATCATCAAGGAAACGTACCCACACACCAGGGGTGGGGGGTGTCGGGGGGCTGGTGGAGCTGTTAAAAACTCTACTTTCCATATGAAAAGCAGCAGCAGCAGGAGACCAACCTGGTTTCTCAGTCATTGGATGAAACAAATGACATCACCAATAATCAATCACAAGTGATACTACTGGTCACCCCGGGCCTTTATAAATACAGACTTGGGTAAACCCGACCTTAATAATATTAATAATGTATAATTAATAACTGTATTAACAAAATACCGCACTTACTGAAGACTATATTCATGTTATATGTTTCATGTTGTCTTCATGCTATCAGCCTACACTAATTAAGGACTTGGATTTATGAGGCACATGTTGATTAAAAGTTTCATTTTATTTTTCAAAAAGGCATATCAGAAAAACTATTTACAAATCATTTACAAAACACATCAAATACTGGGCTGCTGGATGAAGTATCTGTCCAGCTCCAAGCCTGTGATGCATAGCATTGTACTTTGGATTAGCCTCTAGGTCAACAGGCAACAGGTCGGTGAGCTCCTGGCTGTGGAAACTTGGGGGTCGCACAATCCACCGCGACACCCCCTCCAAGCTGCAATCTTCCTCATGCGACATCAGATCGATAGTGACGCCTTTCCAGAACGCCACTTCATCTGCTGCCAGTACACCCTGTCTCGCTTCCAGCAGCTGTAAACACAAACAGAACAATAAGTACCGCAGGCTTACAAGGTAGGTTTTCAGTTCATTTTACAGAGTTGTAAAATTAAATGAAGTTTGTAACTCACTTCTGCTTCAAAGCAGACAATATACAATACACCAAAATAATCATAGAATGATAAACTGAAATAAACTATAAACTATGTTTCATGGAGTCAGTTCTAAAGTGTCTTGACCTGGGGGAAAAACTGAAAAATGATGTCACATTGACCAACAATGAATCTAATCCAACAAATTTTACCTGCTTCCTTCTCCATCGACACCGGGCAAACTCTTAAAGGCTGTCATCCTAACAGCAAGATCTGGTTGACAATAACAGAAGTTCCTGTGTATTGTCTCACAGTGGGTTTCACAAGCAGCTGAATGATTGTTTGGTCTCTCCTCTTCCATCCTCCAGATCTCATTTCTCCAACTATCCTCTGCACTCACACACTTAATTCTCTGTTTAGTACAGTTCTTGATTTCTTTTACTGAAGCTAACTGCCACATCAAGACATAGAAAAAGGCGTCACCTCTGACCAGCGGGGGCTTACCTGAATAGTATTTGTATAGGTCACAGCATTTTCTTTACATGTGAAAGCCTCCCCTAGACCTAGAAGAAGGGAGTTCATGGGGGCAACACTGACAAACAAAGCCCACGTCAATTCCCCTCAGTTCCTGACAGTTTTGCTGGCCAAAACTTCTGTGAGCAGCCGTTAACCTGAACTTCCACGGCAATATAACGTGCCATTAACTGCTAACAATCCTACTTTTCATGCAATGTATGCTTTTCGTCTTTCCATATTGGCTGCAAAGTTGCCATAGAGTGTAGTCTTCTGCTGCCAGGCTTTCTTTGGGATCAGTTCCTTGGCATGGAACTGCAAAAAGTTCACTATTATTGAGCTTGGTCGAGAGGGGTTTTGTCTTTGCCACCAGCCTTCAGATGTGTTTGGTCATCGCTGCCAGCCTCCAGAGGTGTTTCACTTGTCCCTGAATCCATCCTTCGGAACTCCCTCCACCCACCTTGGGTTTTTTCTCACCTGATCCATTCTCTGCTTCCCGGACACTTGCCCTGTTGTGCCATTGAGTGTTCCAGCCCTGGTGTTTTCCCTCTCTGAAATTCTCTCTGATTTTTCAATTTGTCTATTACTGGCTGTGCCCTTTTGGTTTTGCCTGTGTCCTGGTTAACAATTTATGACTCACAAACACACACACACACACACCAAGTTTCTAATCTCTTCATGGGCTCGACAGTAGTAGATAAGCGTGATAATTGTGTCTAACACTTACTAATGTTCAAGGTCAAGCTGATAACCTGCACTTCACTTCTAGAATATAAAGGCAGATTGCCATTCATGAATTGATCTCTAACTGGTGGAAATTACAACACTGAAAGTTGCACAACACACATGGTAATACCTAATGATGTGTGGAATTTAACCCCTTAAGAAATCACATGCAGATTTAACACGTGCACTGTTTGTAAATGTACATGAACCAGATCTATGATATGTTACAGTAATATGTATCATTTTGTTACAATATCATTTGTGTGAACAGATGAGCAATCCTAGTGTAAATGTGTAATCTGTAAATAAAAAACACTTTCCACAAACACAAAATGAAGATTTGTAAACTCACAAAAATATTTTGCAAAACAGATCTGCAAATACACAAAAAAAATTCCACAAATTATCTGTGAATATATTTAATTTAGAAATATAAATTAACCACATTTGTGAATATCTTCCTAACATTTACAACTTTCAAAAAGGCATTTCCACCTGTGGAAAGAAAATCGACTCGTGTCACTCGGCCGTTTTTGGAGACCACGTGATGTTGCCTGCTGAGGATGTCATTTCCGCATTTCAAAGTACAGCAGAGCTGCCTGGAAGTGCTAGCTTGATACTGTCGCTAAGAAAATATCAGCTGCTCTCAACAAAAAGTGCATGCAGACTGAAATTCAACCGTGGTGTTGTGTCAGGAGAGGAAGCAATTTAAACCAGCGGTGAGTAAGAAATAGTATATATTGTATATGTAATTTGTTAAGCTGTGAGTATAGGGAAAGTCCGCTAGCCAGTAGGCTAATTTAAGCAGTGTGAAATCCCATAGCCTTTAAATAATGTTAATGGTGTGAAGCTAAAAACAAACCTTCACTTGTGAGCTAAATGTTTGCTGAAATGTTCATGTTGTTGAGCCATGTTTTATGCTTGTTAGAGTCAGTTTAGCTTTTCTGCATGTAACCAGCTAACATTACTTTTCTTTATGGGCAAAGCAGAGGAGGAATTGGTGGGAGCTCCTGTCTTGTGACAACCACATTTTTCTCAGAAGAGGAAAAGAAGAAGGAGAAGAAGAACAAGAGCAACATGGAAAATCCCCCAAAACAACGCACAGGAATAAATAATCGTTATTAGGCTATAAATAACAGTTTAATGCAAACAATAGAATAAAACCCCTTTATATTCCACCCACATGCCTTGTGTAAATACCTGTATACAGTCTATGCAGTGGATACTAACATTACTGCGTAACTACAAGGTTACAAGCGGTCCATTCAAGTTTGAATGCAATAGTATTTATTCTATTTTATTAATAGTTGCGTGCTTAGTTATTTATTTTTATTATTTAAATGAAAATGGTTATGCAGTCCTTTATATGCTGTGCTCAAAATGTCTACTTACATCGTAAACCCATTATGTTCTACTGAGACTACACGGGCGTTGAAAGTTTGTGAAGAGATGTCTGCATGTCACCAGAAGAAGAATCTTCTGCACTCACTCTGGAATGAAGCCTGGTTCATGGAGCAATGGATATTTTTGTGAGTTTACAAATCTTCATTTTGTGTTTGTGGAAAGTGTTTTATATTTACAGATTACACATTTATACACGGATCGCTCATCTGTTCACACAAATTGAATTGAAACAAAATTGTATAGTGACTAGAGAAAGCAGTCTCTAATGAAATTGCAGTGTGAATGCTGGCTGTTGAAAGACTGAAGCTAAACTGGATTGCTGTCTTCAAATGTTGAATAACACTAATACTATATAACAGATTTGGAATATTTTAAGCATTGTTAAAACCATGGCACAAAACTGGATTTCTGGCTGTAATTTGTATACAGAAGCAACCGAGGAGTAGGAATAATTGGGAAATGTGAGAAAGAGTGACATTTATGGGATTATGAATGGGATTTAAAAGTTAAATAACAGCCATAATGTATGAAAGATGTAGGACATTTTAAGGTTAGAATAGTGTCTATTGCTGAAAGATATGAAAAAGTTGAATTAATATGAGAAAGTCCTGAGTGTCATGAAAACAGGATTTGAAAAAATGTATAAAGTTGTACGAAGAGCTGTAAAGGTATGGTTAAATTAGCATGGATGATTTAAATGTTGAATAAATTCCATAATGCATGAAAAAAGATTTTTCAATGTGCAGAGTAGTCGTATAAACTTCTATTTAACTCCCAAAATGTCTGAAAGAGGCCATGTGACTGTAGCCAAATGCGTTGATACACACTGACGTACTGCGGTAAGCGTGTTGACTCTTTTCTGTTTCCGGTGCTTGTGTGTTGGTAGCGTGTTTTGCTGCTCTCGCTAAATACCAGTTAAATTAGTTAGTTTAGTATTTAGTATTTGTTATTACAGCAGCAAACTGTCCGCTAAACACTTACTTTTACAGTAATTCTGCCTAAGCACCCACAGTTCTTTCCATCTTTTAGTGACTGCTGTTTAATCTCAAAGTTGTTTTCAAAAGTTTAGGTAGATAAATGCTACCGTACTTTAGCATTGCCGTTAGCGACCTTAGCTTAGCAACTAGCGATAGCCTCTGGTAGCCGTCCCCCGGCATCTCCTGAGAAGCCAGGAAAGGGTGGCTGGGTGACTGTCCGATGGAGGAACAGTCGTAAGAATTCAAAGCACAGGGGTCACCACCAACCTGTTCATGTTTCTAACAGATTTTCCCCACTCAGCGACACACCTGCTGAGAAACCAACTCTGATCATTGGCAGCTCCATTTTGAGAAACTTGAAGTTAGCGAAGCCAGCGGCCATAGTTAAGTGCATCCCTGGGGCCAGAGCGGGCGACATTGAGTCTTATTTGAAACTGCTGGCTAAGGATAAACGTAAATACAGTAAGACTGTTATTCACGTCGGCAGTAATGACTCCCGGTTACGCCAATCGGAGGTCACTAAGATTAATGTTGAGTCGGTGTGTACATATGCAAAAACAATGTCGGACACCGTAGTTTTCTCTGGACCCCTGCCAAATCTGACCAGTGATGACATGTATAGTCGCATGTCGTCATTCCACCGCTGGTTGTCGAGGTGGTGTCCAGCAAACGATGTGGGCTTTGTTGATCATTGGCAGACTTTCTGGGGAAGACCTGGTCTGATTCGGAGAGACGGCATCCATCCCACTTGGGAAGGAGCAGCTCTCATTTCTAGAAATCTGGCCAAGTTTATTAGTGGACCAAATCCATAACAACCCAGAGTTGAGACCGGGAGGCAGAGTAGCAGTCTAATACACTTCTCTGCTCCTCCATTTCTGGAGTTACTTAGTGAAAATCCTATAGTGACAGTGTCTGTCCCCACGACCATTGAAATTATTTAAATCAAAGGTAAACAGAAGAGGAGCTGTGCATAAAAACCTCATAAAAATTAAAACCACAAGAGCAATAGTGCAAAAGAAGGAGAATTAAATGTGGACTCTTAAACATCAGATCTCTCTCTTCTAAAGGTGTACTAGTAAATAAACTAATATCAGATTATGATATTGATTTATTTTGTCTTACTGAAACCTGGCTGGGTGATGGAGAATATGTTAGCCTAAATGAATCCACCCCTCCCAGTCATATTAATACTCACATTCCTCGAGGCACAGGCCGAGGAGGTGAAGTTGCAGCTATCTTCGACTCTAGCCTACTAATCAGCTCTAAACCTAAACTAAACTATAACTCATTTGAAAGCCTTGTTCTTGGTCTTTCACACCCAAGTTGGAAATCACTGCAACCAATTCTCTTCGTTATAGTGTACCGAGCACCTGGTCCGTACTCTGAATTCTTATCTGAATTTGCAGAGTTTTTGTCAACTTTAGTCCTTAAAACGGACAAATTTATTATTGTAGGGGATTTTAATATTCACGTGGACGTTGAGAATGACAGCTTTAGTACTGCGTTTATCTCTCTGTTAGATTCCACTGGCTTCTCTCAGAGTGTTCATGAACCGACTCACTGTTTTAACCACACCCTCGACCTTGTTCTGGTATATGGTATTGAAATTGAACATTTAATAGTGTTCCCACAGAATCCCTCTTTATCTGACCACTGTTTGATAACTTTTGAGTTTGTATTGCTGAACTACACGCCATTGAGCAAAAATTTTTATACAAGATGTCTGTCTGATAGTGCTATAGCTAAATT